GGCATTAGTCAAATTCACGCGAATATTATTGCACTGATTGAAAAGGTCGTCGCTGCCGAGCGATAAGTATACTGAGTACTGTTTGTTTGAATTAATTTAATGAGATTACAACGGCAGCCGCGTAGATAATGATATCGTTGTTTAGAGTTTCATTTGACGCCATAACACTCCATTAAAGCGATAGTTCGTTCTTTGACTTAGCAATATTACAATTTTCTAACATTTTCTAACATTTATTGCATAGACAAATTTACATATTAAAGAAGTTTTTACATAGTTGATACATTACATATTGAAGAAGTTTTTCTGAACTATTAAATTAACGCAAACTTGTTGGAATACGCGTTTTTATCGGAGTCATTCCCAATATCTCCAACAGATAAAAAAAATTAAATATCAAAGCGTCGTTCGACTGCTGTGTTGCATCAATGTAAAACTCAACTTTAGTTATGACAAATTAAATGTATTTTAGCCGACTTTAGTTTATCAAAGTGAGAAAATGTAATCAAGGATCATTTTACATTTAAGAACACTTTTATATTTATCAAAAATAACAACGATCTACATCTAGAACAACGTCAAGGAAAAATTCCAACGTTATTTTTACGAGTTTTACCTCTTTTTTTTTCGAGACAATTCTTACACATACCTTTGTCCTACGTGACGCGGATAATTTTTGTTGTAAAATACGACGTCGAAGCCTTTACTTTCACCTTGCTCAGCACGAAACAAACATCATAATTCACATGAAAGCAAAAGTGTTCAATTCTTGGCCTAGCTTTGCTTTTCTTTTTCTTTCCGTTCGTAAATCAAACTTTTTTTACCCTTCTACTAGAATTCAAAACACATGCGACAGAATTTTTTTATGAAAGAAAGGGTTTTTTTAAAAAAACGAAGTTACGTACACAAAGTAGAAGAAAACACAGGTAATGTTAAAAGCCAAGAGCTTAAATCTTCCGACAAAAAGTGCAATGAAATATTCAAGAAACAAGGTTAAAATACAACATCCTCTCAAGCCTTTCGAGAACACACACGAACATTGCAAATAATAACATTGCGCGCAGTGAAAGAAACATTGCAGTATATTAAAATTTATGCGATTATAAAAAAATATTTTTCAATGCGCGTTTTTCTTTTTTGTAGAAGAACATCGTATGTAGCTTGACAATGTTATTTTCTTGTCATGTAAAAGAATGATATTTCCAATCGGCATAAAATATTGGCGATCAGATTTATTTCATATAAATACCTAATATAAATGTCTAATTAATTTTTTGTAAAAATCTATATTAAGTGATTATCTTTTTTTTGTAAAAAAAGCGTGGAATTCGAATAAAGGAATCGCAGTCTTTTTTCACAGGTAAATGTTGCATTAGTCAAATATACTGCGCTAAGTCGGTTCTCGAATATCTTATGCCGATATATGTGATATCGTTTCAGAGAGAGAAAAAGAGAGAGGCTGTCTCTCGCGTAAATGTACGCCGATATTCGGAATCGACCGGCCGGTTTGAGGATTTGTCTGGTGTGATGGCTTCGGCACGCGACATAACGGGGTACGCGTCGCTGCCGTATGACCATAAAATAAACGTTTGGGGTAGCGCAGGCGGAGGCCAAACCTGGCAGCGTATAAACACTTATATAACGGCAATTAAACTGCTTTTAAGGCCCATAAAACTGCAGTTTCAATAATCTCTGTGACAACACGATTCTGACCTGTCTCCGGAAGCGCGACTTCCCTCGGGAGATGTCAAAAGCGGTCACGCCGTACCCGACGGGTGTAAAAATTTCGATCGTTGTCTGCTCGCGATCAAATTTTTCGATCGACTGCGTTTCTCCCCTCTTTTCTCTCAAAGTCTACTTTTTACGACTCGTTTTACAATCAACCCCAATTTCGCGCGCTTCCAAATACAAATGTTACACGTTTTACATGTTATTACGCGTTTATGTACGAACCTCAAGCTCCTTTCTCGCATGTCGTATGACATTTCGAATTCGAATTTCGATAAGAAACGTAAATTAATGACAAAGGAAAAAAAAACAACGACAATAGAAAAACAGAAAAGTGGAAATTGGTTTAGCCGTGGTATGAAACAGAATTCGGAATGAAATTTTCCAGATAAAATTTCGATGGTGGCTGTACTTTTTCTAGCCACATACCTGCTGGTTGCTGATGCGACTCGGATGAGGGAGGAAGCGCTTACGCGTGAGAGACGAGGAGAGCTGACGAGAGATCGGAGGCGGGAGAAATACAGAGAGAGAGAGAGAGAGAGAGAGAGAGAGAGAGAGAGAGAGAGAGAGANAGAGAGAGAGAGAGAGAGAGAGAAAGAAAGAGAGAGAGAGAGAGAGAAAGAGAGAGAGAGAGAGAAAGAGAGAGAGAGAGAAAGAGAGAGAAAGAGAGGGTCCAGGTAGGGGAGGCAGGAGCGTTGAAATGGGATAATACCAACGCTGCAGGACGCGGCAGCCATCATCGAATGCTAATGAGGGGTTGGCGGCTTTTGGGGCAGTGGACTCTGCTCGTAGAGTGGTGCGCCGTTGTCGGCGGATCGGTCTGATTATAAATTATACATTATCTCCTGCTAGTCTCCCCGTGTACACGCCGTAATCCAACTAGACGTTTGCAGGCCTCTGAACCCCAATGTCAAAATATGTTCGCGTACTCGCGCGCATACCCAGCGATAGATTAGAAATTCGTGTGTCGTCCTTGCTAACTACTTTGCTTGGTTACCGTTTTGAAAAAAAAAAAAAAAAAAAAACGTTATCTGTCTATCGACACGATTTTAACTATCACTAAATATGCATTAAATTTTTGAAAATTTTCATATCTTTAAATGTTTATTTTTAAATTGAAGAGAAACGAGAAAACAACATAGTGTGTCTTCAAAAAATAGGTTTTGACTTTTGTACGTCATTCATAAATATAAATCTGTTTTATTGATATTTTACTGATATCTCTATTTTAAATTACCATCAGCATCTAATATACGTATGGTATATAGCTCTCGCATACTTATGTATCGACACGATATATTTGCGATTTGCGTACATATGATCAAAGAATCGCAAATTGCAGTTAAATTTGCATATGTATCGTCCACGTGACACAATTAATGAGAAGGTAATATGATTGAATAAGGTCGTATACATAGAATATATTCTTTCTGTTGCCATACAATTTCGAAGATAATTTTGAAGACAAAAACTCCGTTTTAATTATAAAACATTCATTAATTTTGTTTATAGATGATACGTGGACGACCTTGAGAAACGAGTTTGAACAGAACATTTTAAATCTTCGAGTAGACATTCATTCAGTTAAATGAAAATAGTCAATGAAAATAGTGAAAAAAGTACATAAAATGAGAAAATATTAAATAAATAGAAAAATATTAAATAAGAAAAATATTAAACAGATCTTAGATATTAAAATTAATAAATAACTAATAAAAAAAGCAACTAATAATTTGCCAAAATTTTAGATACCCGGAATTTTGTATAGATTTTTTCAAGAGGAAGAAACCGATCCAAGTTGATCCAGAAATGCAGTAGTATACTTTTTAGATGACTGTTCCGAGGCGTCCTCATGCAAAAGCGAATTCTCATTCATTGACCGAGCGTATGTGTATAGAAACAGATATGTTCCGTTTGCATATATCGGAATGTAATTTCCTACCGGACTGAGCATTCCCATTGCGGTTGGAAATATCGTATAGTGATCGCCAATGTGTGCCTATTTAAAATTATGATACGCCTGGTGTAAACAAACCATCACGATAAAAGCCAACGGCTGAAGTTTTAATTTTATCTTATCGGTATTTACTGCGCTATTGTGGGCTCGTAAGTGGCCGTATAAAAGATAGTCACGGAGATTATTCGCGACTAACATTATCACACTGACGACAGGTGTAGTTGCCCATATACAAGTCCTTCTTGCATGCACAACTAACATAAATGAATAGTAAGGTAATAGTGTAGGACATAGCGCGTGCAGCTTGGTTGCACGACTCATGTAAATGACCTTAAAACGATGACCTTGACACTTCGAAACATGAAATTGCATCACTGGTTTATCATAAATTCAACATGAATTATAAATTTGCAATTGATACGGCGGTCTCGTAATTGTGTAATTGCACAACGAAAAGAACACTTTTAAGAGACAGAAAGTTCTAACAGTTTTCCTCTAATTTCAGAACAACGCGAAAAAGATGTTGCTTGAAAGAAAAATGTTATTTATATAGTTTCAAGGGAAGTGGAAATACGAACCATACGATCGTAGTTAAAATTTGAAAGCTAATCACTGCTTAGAAGGGAAAGATACGTGTATCCTTATAATACCCCCTTCAAGCTCACAAGTATTCCTTTCAGTATAACGTCTCAGAGAAAGAAATATGGTTGGCACACATGGGGCGTCACTTAGTATTTTAGGAAAGCTTCTCTTCTATTTATTTTTGAAAATAGAAATCGTACATCGAAGACTTTTATTTCGTAAGAATATTATAGTATTGTGCAAGAAAAGCGGAAAATACACGTAGAGTCATATGTTGGTAAAGGATTAACACACAACTCAGAGGTCTTATACTTTATCTAAAAAAAAAAAAAAAAAAAAAAAACTAAATTTACGTTTCACTTTATCGATATGAAAAAAAACTCAACTAGATCTCAAGTAGTTTTATAAACAATAATCTTATACACGAAATTATTTTCTTCCAATCATGATTTATATATTTCACAAACATGAATAACCGAAGTAGACTTCATGTAAATTTCATCCGCTTTACGACTCATCATAAATCCTACTGTTTACTATACTTTAGCGCATAGTTAATTAGCCTGCTTGTAAAAAAAATGTGTGTATTTTTTGTGAAGTAAAACTTATATTTCGTACATATTTGCAGAAATATGGAATATATGTTCAATGTAATGAATAAATATATTTATATATATATATATATATATATTGATATAACAAATATAAAGTATCAGCAATAGTTTGTACTTACCGCACACCACTCTGTCGAAAGGACTCATCCAATCTGGAAAATATAAAAAGATTTATTAAAGAAATATTCAAATGAAACGCGTGAATGGGGCGATTGGTTGCTTCTTTCTATCTTATGATATTACACGAGATAGTGATGCAGAACGGAAGAGTCAAAATGAGAAACTACGAATGATAACTTGGAATAAGCTTATACCGCGAGATACGGCAAGAATTCTCAAAGCACGTTATAAGAGACTTGCAAGATATATTATGACTTAAACGTATACTATATATTAACATTCGACATGCGCGTAAATATATAAAGTTTAGACACGTTGATTTTGATCCTACACAGCCTTGCGAACTAAAATCGTCACACACATACGTCTGTACCGTACGGCTGAATAGTTCACCTCACCCCCAAGCCATAAAGTTATTCTTACGCAGTCATAAAATAGATAAGAAACTTATTGACGCATGGATAGACATACGACAGTATAAGTGCTTGAAAAACCGTAAATCCTTTCAGAAAGGCGTAGGATATACATCAAACGTAAAAGCAGAAATCAAATTAAAGACATTAAATATCACAGCATAGAATGAGACTTATTGCTTCACTGCTTTTTAGAACGTGCGAAAGTGCTTTTAATATAGGAAACCAAAATAACGTCATGAATAACAGAGGAAGAAGATCGAGTAGAAGATAAAACAAACGAAATTGAATATTCGCACGTTCATGCATCGAGAAATATCGTGTAACCGATGTATATAATCAAATAACGAAAGTACTGGGCAAACAATATACGAAATGTTGAATTATATCGCTGATCGCTGAAGTCTATCGTCGAGCTCATTAGGAATCACATGAGCGTGGTCATGATTTGTGGTGGATATACGTGACAAGACCTCACGAGTTGCTAAAACCGAAAGTTAACGCTAAGCATTATTATAACGTGTTGATAGCAAAACGGGCTTCGAAAAATAATTTGCATATTTGAAGATTACAACTTAATCGCAATATATTCTGTGATTTCCTACATTGTGCGAATATGCCTTGTATTTATATTGCTACAACTCGAGTGCATTGCCACGAGAGAGAGATCGTTCGATCCAGTCTCTCTCTGAGAAATTTTGTTGGAAAATATACGGTAACACGCGCAATAACTTGAGTAAATTACTTAGTCGTTTTTGACAACAAGCGCATTGATTCCTTCATCGCGTAAGTTTGGCCGAGTTGATCGCAGTCTGATTGTGACAAATACGGCGATTGTTGCAACTGCAACTTCTATACGTTTCAAGTCTCTCAACGGAATACCGAGAAGAATGAATTGTTTAGCTATTTGCGTGTAAAAAAAAAAAAAAAAGAAAAATCGTGAACCGTCAAGTTAGTTTGCCTTCTTTCACGTTTCAAAGTCCACGAGAGAAGCTTCTTTTTGCGCAAACTCTTCTCGGAATTATTTCGCGCGCCGTTAGTACAATGTCACAACAATATTACGCGCGAGGAAAGCAACAAAACGTGCTGTTTCGTATTAACGTAAAAATATATAATTTTTGCGCGCGTGTCAAGAATGGAACACGCCAAGCGACAACAGACTGGTTTGCAGCCGTGCGTTGTTGTTCGGCGTAAATATACACGATAAATACCGTCGGCGCTTTGTTCTGGCTAATGTCTGAACAGACAAAGACTGTTCGACAAGGTACATTTAGAATACGTTATGCATGACCAGCAATGATATTTCAAGTTTCGTGTGATAACAAATGCACCTGAAATTCTAATCTATTACGTGAACTTTATTTTTTTTCTAGTTGCGCTTTTGTGTATAAGCGTGAGTGTATGACCTGTATATATGTATCGCTCTTATTATAAATTATATTAATCTTATTTTGTAAATTATTATACAATTATAAAATATTTATTAAGGACGTACTCCGACTACAGTGGTTAGCAACCTAAATAAAGTGGTTAGCAACCTAAAATATCTCTTCTCATGAGTAAGTTTGTACTGCTGTAACAAAATTAAATTGGAGCTATTCAGCACTGCTAAGACCCGCTTACTCTGCGCAGAAGTTCAAAAATAGCTGCAGTACACAGCGCACATAAATCCAGCAAAACAAAAAAAAAACATATTATTCAAAATCGTATTTTAATTAAGACACTCTCCGCTACCACATACTTGTTTCTTAAAAAAATCCTACAAAAATTGTCGTCAGTAACTTTAAAAAACTCCACTTCACAAAGGCTCAGCATAGGAAATCCATGTTAATAATTGAAACTTAAATCTTCTATATTTTGGAATTTAACATTGCTACCCCTATTATCCAAAAAGGCTACGTATAAATAAGATCATAAATTATGTATATCGGAAATTTAAAGAAAATCCTAGGAAAATCAATAATTCGGAGAACGTCCTTAATCTGTAATTATAATAATATATAGCAATATACTTAGAAAATTATATAAAGATATTTTTGTCTTTTTTCAATTATTTTAAAATACACGTACAAATATAACAAAAACATGAGAAATTTTATCGCAACTTTCTAATTTTAAACTTTGTTTTTTTAAAACTTGGGATTTATTTTTAATAAAATTTTATCAAAAAAATAAATTATATTAAAATTTACGAGAGTATTGAGAACTTCCTCGGGTTCGTATAATAAAATTCAAATGTGTTGAGTAATGGGCTTCTGTGAACCAAATGCAGGAACTTAGGTGCAATAATGAAGACTGTGTGTGTCTCGATAATCGGAAATTATATTAAATTGTATAATTTATTCCTTCATAAAAAAAGTTTTTATGTGCAACAATATTTTTAATTTAATTTTTGTGCAAAAAGTATAAGACGGTTTTTATTAGAAAAACATAACAAATTATAATTTAATCGAAATATTTAATCGAAATATTAATTTTATTTTCATTCACAAGGCAGTAAAAACTAACGTGGCAGTAAAAAAAGTATATTCTGTAACAGCGTGTATATATATATATATGTGTATGTAAGTATGTGTGCATGTGTAGTTTTAGAAAAATGTATGTGTACTTTATATAATTTTTAACCAAGTTTTAAATATGTAATGATGATTATATGGAGCTTCAAGAATTTTTAAATAATAATGAATTTTGGCTATTGAAGCAGTAACACTGTTGTTGGAGTGTATATATTAAAATCCGTTTATTAACAATTAATAGTATAATAGCATGAACGCTTTCGATCCTTGTATTAGGTCCTTTTCAAATGCATTTCTACAATGAATGAACGTATAATTACAATTGATGAAATACAATTAATGAAATTAATACAATAAAATAAATTTCAAAAGATAATAATTAAAAATCGCAGAATGAATATAATGTACAAAGTCACTTACAAATTTCTTAGATAGAAAACGTCGCTCAATGTTGATCAAGGATATCCGCACTAGCCATCCCGACCAACACTTTACAAAGGTGAAATCGCGACTGAGAAACAACGTGTGTGTAATGATAGGATTCAAATTTACGAATAACATATCAATTTATGTCTTATCGACAAACGGTAAATAGGAATTATCTAAATTTTCCGTGTCGCACTGCAAATTAAGTCCGCTGACTTGACTTTTTATATGTAGCATAACTATTAATTGTTAATAAACGGATTTTAATATATACACTCCAACAACAGTGTTACTGCTTCAATAGCCAAAATTCATTATTATTTCAAGTTTTAAATGTTTTTCTCTATGCCCGAAGAAATACATTTGTGTATATATGTTTAGCAAACTTCTGTTTTTGTATCAGTCCTGTTTTATTGCTCATATTAAATGGTTGCAATATAAATATTGAGGATTTGTATTCAAAGTTTATAATTGTACTAAAAACTGATTGTAGAATACTTGCACTTTACATAACCAACTAATATAAAATTATTGCTGTTTAAATATAAATCATATATTTAAATCTTAAATATTAAAAATAATAAATATATTTTAATATATATTATATGTCTTTATAATATTTATATTATAAACTTTAAAAAATAAATAATATGCTCAATAAACTTTTCTCTTTTTGATATATATGCAACAATAATAACAATAAATTTTACTTAATGATTATGTGTATGTATGATCTCTTTGTTGCTATAATGCATTAATTATTAATGTGATAATCACATTATATAATATTAATAATTTACATCATGTAAATTATTAATATTATATAATGACAGCGAATGAAATCATAAGTGACAGTATATAATATATATGTTCTTTATATTTTATATTTTTCTTCTCTCTCTCTCTCTCTCTCTCTCTCTCTCTCTCTCTCTCTTATTCTCTACTATCTATCTGTCTCACTCTATCTAGTACATTAACTGCGATAGAAGACAGTATCTCTCGTTGCATCATGCTCGAAATTTCGTGCACTAATATCGATAAATATTTACATAATCATGCAGTATGACAAAGAGAATATACACAACAATATTCAATTTATATACTATGTATCAAATTGCAGAAATAGATACATACTATTAATTAAGCAGCTTATTAAGCACATTTTTAAATACTATAGAAATAAAAACATACTTGACAATAACATTAAAAATATAAATTAGATATATAGCAATTATTTATAGATATATTATATTTAATGTAATAGAATATAAGCGTTTAATTTTTTATTATTATTAACGATAATATTTTCGAAACAAGAAGTCAATCTCTATCCTCTAACAAAAAGAGTTTACGTTTTTGTACGTTTTTATTTCTTTAAAATTTATTCATACTTAATCACAATAGAGCAAGTATATATGCTAATAACACATCGTTTTTTGCATTACATTCTACGTATATGCAGTAATCCATTAACAATTATGAAGAACAAGAAAAAGAAAAATTATTATATGATAATAAAAAAAAAAACTCACCGGTAATTGACATCCATGGATACCGAGGAATGTCCGAGATCCCAGGTTGACCCGTGGTAGGTTGTTGGCAGGACGTCAAGGGATCAACAACGGCCGATGCAGCGGCTGCTTGATGATAGAACTGTGCCGCCGCTGCCATGGATGCCGAGGCGGCCGACACCGCCGAAGAAGCTGACGCGGATGAAACAAGACTACCGGGCGTAGCGCCGTTTTGATGATGGTGACCGAGAGTATAATTAACCATAGGATCGGCTGATGTAGGTGCTACATTGCCAGTGAGACTAGCTGTGTAACGACAGGATTTATCGCCGGCAGTAGCGGCGTCTACAGCAGCGGCCGCGGCCAGAGCAGCGCTGGACGCTGCCGTGGACCCAAAACCGGGCACCATGCTCGATGTGGCGCCAAACGCGGCGGCTGCAACCGCCTGCTGCTGTTGATGATGGTGATGCGCCGCAGCTGACACGTAAGGGTACATACTGGACGTGGTACGCGCCGCCGGTGAGGTCGAAGCAGAGCTTCCGGAGTGCTGGGGACTCGAACCCGTCGGACTCGGTGAATTGTGCTGCTGTGCGTAATTGACCGCCGCGGCCGCAACTGCAGCCGCGGATAAACTTGATTCTAGGCTCGCGGTGGCCGGACTCGTTGTGCACGCTTGAATAGTACCTGGATTCGCGCTTGAGAATAATTGCTGAGGATGGAATTGTTGGTACTTAGCAGGAAGCATACTATCAATTATAAATTTCGTACTCATATCGCCTGTCGGTGTCGATGTGGACTTGATGCCGAAGACACGCCCGGACGAGGATGACCGGGACAAGTGTCTCAACACCGACACCGTAGCGACACGTTCAACAGCTGCTCACTCATCGCGTAATCCGTACCGGATCGCGATAATACACTGATGGTTCTCTTTTATCAATAAGATGCTTCTCGCTAAGAAAAATACACACACTGTTTCTTTGATCGCCGAATCAACTTCTTTTACCTTACTATGTATTGCTTGCCGCGTCCACTATCTCTTTCTCTATCAACGTCCACTTTTTTATCGCCACTTACGCAAATTCGCACATTATCACAATAACAATACCGAAAACCCAATGGATTACAATCACCAGGGACAATAAAATTGGAGTCGCCGACTGTTCGTGATGATAAATGACATGTCCTTCTCTTTCTCGTTTCGGATTCGTGCGTTATTCGCGTTTCAATTTCGACCCGCACACTTTGACGTAATCATGCCTTCTGATTACAAATCCATCGGAATCAGAACGGCAATCGGTGATAAAGCAGCGGGTCCTTCTTCAATTGGGCCCACCCAGCTGTGGTCCCAGCTTGGAAATTGGGCGACGACGAACCCGACGACGGCACGAGGAGAGAGAAGAGAAGAGCGTGGCCCCTGTCAGGTGTTAGAAGCCGTTTCTTGCGTACTTCTCGGATAGTCGACGAATCCTTTATGGGCCATGCATGTAGGTACTATATCCCCCTATCCCGAACGCCGCGTACTACAACCCACGGCCAGCTAAATGTAACCCCTTACAATAATGGCGCCGCTTGTCTCTCCGTTCTCCCCCCTCTCTTCTACGAGTCCGAAGCGCGGCGGGGTACCAGCTGGTAAACAGAGTCGTCCAATCGTAGCGTGGCCTTATCCAAGGTGGACCAATCACAGGCGTGCTAGGCGCGCCAAGATGAATGAGTCTCTTTCCCCGTCGCTACTCTTCTCACTTCGATCTTCGCTTTCGGCTATATCCGACCTCTCTTCCCTCACTTGGCTTTCAAGCGTCTCTCGCTTACTCGCTTGGCGTATACCCGGCGTGCTTCGTCCGACGATCCGTCGATCCGTACGTTTGCCTCTTACCCAGCAGTGTTCTCAGATCGCGGCGCTAACCCCACTACGCGTCCCACTTGCGCACGCATTTGGAGGCTTGTGTTATCATCCACGTGACTGAGTTCTGCAGACTCGTACGTATATATGATGTGTTTGGGTATTTATTAGAATTATTAGATACAATTATTAATTTGTATAGTAACACCAAACACAAAATTTATGTAAACTCGAAACGACGTCTCCAACCAGTTGTAGATGTAAATATAATACTTAGTTAAGTTTCTTTTGTTTTACGCAACAAATATTATTTGTGTTTGTTTATTTTTTTGTTATTCATATTAAGTTTTATAATTAATGTTTTTATAACTGATAAAATTATATATTATTGTTTTTATATCTTTATATAATAATATAAATTTTTTATATCTTTATAGCCATGTTTAAATTTTTCTGTTTTTTTATTCTGTTACAGGCACGAAAGGTGCCCTTTGCTGCGACAAGTATATACAACATTGAGGTCAGAATGCGTCTGCTAAAACTGGCGCTACTGCGCATGTGTCTTCAGGCGCACGATCTGAAAACACTACTTGGCTGTGCAGTCGTGCTCGCCACGTTGCCTTATACTCTGTGATGTTCTAATGTCTCACACGGTGTTTTCTATCCTTCTCTAAGTTTTTCTACTTATCTTTCTTCTTTTCTTTCTCTTTCTTTCTCTTAGTTAAATGCAGTCTTTTTATCTCGTTTTCTTAATCTACCTCCGTTTTACTCTTCAGAATTATTTTTCTTTCTTCTAGGTCTTATTAAGGCAACACTTTTTCAAATTTTGTCTTATACACATACTCTTTTTTTATTAAGTATTTGTAGTAATAATTTCACACACATATTTTTATTCAATTTATACTACATAAATAACGTATTTATAAACTTCAGCCACAAAATCACATCTTTTTGTTATTGAATATAAATTTATAAGTATACTAATTTACTAGTATACTTTGTAATTTTAAATCTGTTAAAAATCCAGCGAGACAGTTGATTTGTCAATTTCTTTTTCTTTCCATTCTCTTTTTTTCTCTCTCTTTTCTCTCTTTCTCTTTTTCTCTTTTACTCATATCGCTGCTTCTCAAGTACTATAGAAACTGGCGCGATATGGCCGTCGAATAGTCAACTTGTCGACTTTTGGAAACCATTGAACTCGTCCCGGTTGGGATATCGTAGCGGCATTTCTATGTAAGAATGGTAGCACAACATTGGAGTGACGCGCTCGCGAGGGAGCGGCTTATATTGTGGGCGAATACTGTGATAGAGAAGGTGCACCTATAGGGAATATTGGACACGCAAAGGTGCAAGGGGCGGGGTAAAACTTACTGCCCAGATTACGACATTTCTTATACAAAGATGGACAGCTTATTTTGCATTCATGTGCTTTAGAGCACATTATTATAATAGTAATTTAAAATCTATGCTTAAGAAATTTATTTAAATTAATAAGTCATCAAAACCACCACATTAATATAATAAATAAAATAAAAAAAATAATTAAGAGAGCACTTACCTTATCTACCTGTAGATATCCACGTAGAAATATTCGCGCACATTTACACAATTTACACATTATTACATGAATTAAATAACGTAAAATCTTAGTCGTGTTTTACAAAGCTAAGAAACAACACAATACCAAGTACTTACCATTTAGGACATTTGATTGACGATCTCATGACGATCGATGTTCCTGAAACCAAGTTTAGAAAAAATTAGTTTTGATATAGTTAAACACAAAGAAATAAATTGATTACATAATGATAAATTAAAATAAGAAGATTCAAAATGTTCCAAAAATTGACCGATACGATTTTCTTCTTCCCTCTCTCTTCTGTTCAATTATATCGATCGCTTGTCGCGAATGCCGATGTTTTTGCTCAGCCAGATAAAGCAGAGAACACAGTCATAGCCAAATTCAATCACATACAGTGTATAGGTGCACATATGTTTGAAAGTGAGCGTGTGTAAGTAGATATACTTGTGATTTCTGCACGAAGACACAGGTGCACCTGTCTCAAACAGAATGTAAATTGCAATCGCGTCACGCGTGCAGAGTTACGAGAGAGATAGAGAGAGATAAACATTTGTGAGTGTGTATTGGCGTGAATGTACATGTGTTCCTGCGGAACGATATGTAGGAGATAAAAAGAAGTGCTCCGTTTGCTACAACGCATCAAAGACTCGCCGAATGCGCTGAATCCTTCAGCTAACTCACAGACCGTGCGATAAATAAAATAAGACAAAGTAACAACGAACAATGTCAAAATTCATTCAATTGATTGTCAAAATTCATTCAGGGAGACGCCCTAAGGGTTGAAAAGCACCTAGTGCGCCATCTTCGGGAAGATAAAAGCAATTTGCTACCCTCTGCCGTGCGCTGGTATCTTTTGTCTATTCGACAAATATAAACGGTAATTGACGAAAAAGTTTGATGTAAAAGTAAGAATTTGTTCTTAAAAACCAATATTTTGAAGCTCAAAGTTTACAATAAAAATTAAAAAAATTATATTATATAGTTTACGTAGAATTAAAAGAAAATGAACTGATAAAGAAAATATTCGCAATTGATCAATTTTCTTTCGTCGCGATACGAATATGGTATAAAAGAGCGGATGCAATCTTTAAGTTTAGAGCGCCAGCTTCGTCGCCTTTTCTTTTTCTTCTTTTTACCCTTTTCAGTTTTTAATTTGTTCGTTTCTAGCAAGCATATGAAGACGGTACTAGTTCAGGATCGTAATGATAAATAAATGAGGAAAAGAGTGAATAAGTAGACATAAACGTCAAAGACAGTGCCAAAGTCACTTCAATGTAGACTTCGTCAAGGTCAAGGTTTTATGCGTCTACATTATCGACGGAGTTTATCAGCGCAAAAGTAATATTTTATTTGATATTCTAGTAAACAGAGCTGAGTAGATTAAAAATATTGCGTAAATTAATAAATTATTAGAGTTTCGTAGGCAGTAATTGGCAATAATTTAGTGTAACATATGTATAATAAATACAAGTACAAACTAACAATATATCACTCAATAGCTACAATTAAAAGTAGCTTTTGTAAAGATGATTTTTATTTAAAAAAAATGCATATATGTTCAACAACTTATTGAAGAACCAACGAGTGATGTGCATGTGAACTTGATAATGATATCACAAAAAATGACGAAGTATGTGTAAGGAAATCTTCATTTTTGGTTTGTGTACTTTTGCGTGATACACCATACTACTTCGTATACCACTTCGTATACTAATCACGAAGCAGCGCACACGACGTTGAAGAGTCGACCACGAGGCACGTGACAGTCAACCGATCGTCTGACAGTCGCGACGTTAGTGACGTAATGACGTGCGGAAGGTCCGGAACGTGCGGGACGGGCGAACAGTCGTGTGACGGTGACAGTCCTGCGAACAGGGCGGGCCTCTTAACGACATCTGCTGAGAAAGGAATGAGGAAGTGAGACCGAATGCGAAACAGCTGAAAGATACGAGAGAGAAAGACTTATAGAGAAGTGATGTTAAGAGAAGAGCGCGGGGCAAAATGGTCGGACTTGTGACTCGATGCGTTTTACTGCTGCTTTACGGCAGTTTATTGCACCATCAAAACATAAAATGCCCGGTCGGGAAGCGTGCATGCGCGTGGGTACACCCCCACTTCACTTTTACCGCCGACTGCCGGTTAAACCGGGCAACATTCCCCCGATTTCTTGCTCCAGAGAACGTTCCCCGTACGACCATTTCAAATCCGCTCTTTCTCTCCCTCCAAACGCGGTCACTGGTACCCTCTTGCTGTTTCTTTTACATCTTCCCGCCAAGTTCACGCCCTTTGTGATACCGTGAATTTTATTCGACCACATCGTGACTAATCTCGGGGAGATCTCTCTTTATCGGATCTCCGCCGTTTGTTTTGCGGTGATTTTCGCCTGGAAATCACGACAACTTTCGACAAATCTAATATGTACTTATTTATTATTAATCGTTACTGTAATAAAAGGTTTTTTATAGACTTTTTAAAGACATTTAAGCTAAAAAAAATTTTGTAAATAAAATGTGTTATATTTATGACTAGATTTAGTGCAAAATAATATAGTGCTTTATTAATTGAAATTTAAATAAATAAGTTTGTATAATGTTTAATCACTTAACATCACTATTAAAAGAATTCGTAAGATTGTATGATATCTACATATATGATAATATTTTCCTTAGAAAAGTTTCTTCAGCAAGACGTGTAGAAATAAATTCCCTTTTATTATTGCACGTCATCTGCTACCAGCAAAGTCGTTAAGCTATAACGACAAAAGTAATAATTACATTCTTTATTTATACCATGTAATTTTTTTTTCTCGTCGGTTTCATTCTGTCTTCATTTCCCAGAGCGATAAGAATCGATGAACAAGTTAATGGATGAGTTTATGGTTTTTCATGTAATCTCGCGACACCAAACAATGATATCTAACAAGACAATACCATTCATATAAGATGCCGCAATATCATTACGAATTCATCATCTACTAAAACAAACAAGTTAGTTACACATTTCGTTTTAGAAACAACTAGATTTTATTTTCAAAAATACTAAAAAGTAACTTTAAATACATTTCTCTTTTTTTCTCTGTTAAATTTGAAATTATTTTTGAATGTAAATGTCGTATAGTTAGAATTCCAGACAAACTAAGATTTAAAGACATTAATTATTTTTGAATGTAAATCTAATTAATGAGTATTTCTTTCTTATATTAAAAAACATTTAATATATACATAGAAGAAAATGACAAATTATGTCTATGTATAATTGTAAATTGGACAATCTAATGCGTATAAGTAAAAACAATCTAAGTAAGATAAAATATAGCTCAAAAAAAACAAAGACTATCACTGTTTAGATTACTGTTAAAAAAAATCTGTATAATACTGGCGTCATCTGACGTGGGGTAGAGAAACTAATATCGTTGCTTTATACACCCTTTGCTGCAGTTTCAGGCTTCTCCATGAAATCAGCCGGTCAAACAGGGTTCCCGAATGGCAAAAC